GCTACTTTCGGACAATTAACCAAGAAGGACAGATAGATGGATGTGCAGATAGGTATAGGGTTAATATAATTTGAACACCGAAAATTCCACCAACGAGTGACTGGCTTGCTGACTGGTTGGCTGGTAGTTGGCTGGCATGCACGCGCAAATGCACAAGTTAATTAACCGTATACTGTGTCACTGCGGACTAGCTTGAATGCACGAAGGGGAATTGAGTTGAGCTGGCACCTGTAGGTCGAAGTAGGTAGTACATTAGCTCCGCGTTGGGTGTGGTGGATGACAACTCAGTGATCTGCGTTTGGGGTTGTGGTATTCTGTGCACTCTTTTCCGGAGGGGAGAGATTCACTAGAGGGATGGGGAATGGATTGGTAAGATCTTTATTTTACTGGACGGACATAAGCAAGATTAGATGAACTGAATAGATGGTTCTTAGTCATCAAGAAAGTGATTCAGAGAGGAGAAATTCTTGGTAATGTTGTATAGTATAATATAGCATAAGTATACACAAAAATCACATCTAATATATCAAGACAGTAGTAGTAAACAATCTGGTGAGGAAGTAGTCATGCCAGAGAACCAACAGTGGGAGTATAGAGACATAAGGGGTCGGTTGCCAGACCGGTGGATGCAGCATCGACAGTTGATACTGACACTGATGGTGACGTTGAGAGTCGAGACTCGAAACCGACACTGCCGGGCCAACCATCATCCACCAGACGAGACCGACGAGATCATCAAAACGAGCGAATCAAAGAGCGACATGACATGACATGATCAGTAAGTAGGATGTATGACACTGATCGGGACCCAGACCAGAAGCAGTGTTGGACACCAATAAGAAAAACCCGAAATTCCCCAAAAAACCGACGCTATGCGAACAGAAAAACACAAAGATAGAAGTAAAAATAGAAATACAGCAGCTGAAACATCGGCATCTAGTCAAAGGGCTGGGATGAGGACGACAGAAAGAGAGAGGATGCCGGACCCTGTTGCAGGCAGGAACTTTGATGGATGCAAGGGTTGGGCGGGCTGAACTCTCTCCCTTTCTTTCGGACCCTCTGACAGGAAGCGTAATCCAACCGTGTCAACCAGAGAATCCCTGTTTGAAGACTCCAGACCGGTAACACGTGGATGATGAGACAGGGGGATTAGTAAGAAAAGGAAACGAGCAAAAAAAGAAATCAGACAATCTCGTAATGTACTCCGTAGCAGAGACGAGAAAGGGGAAGGAAAAGAAAAATAAAAGATAAAAAAATAATACAAGAAACAAGAAAGGAAAAAAAAAAGGACCCCGACCAAGACAAGTCAGGACAAGTCAAATCCGGGGACAAACAGGGGGTGCATCGGTGTATCCACCGATCCAGGGGGGAAAGGATTCCCCAAGGCCACAAGGAAGCACCGAAGCGACCGTCATTGTTGCGGTGACTGACTTGGACGAAGGCCCAGAATGTCACGAAGTCAAGAGCGCCCGTCGAGGGCTGGTCGAGAACGAGAGCGAAAACCCGCAGAATCGTACATCCGACGAAGTATCCGTACTCCATCAGAAACAAATAAAAATAAATATAGAAAAAAAGGACGGTAATAAATCGTCCTAAAAGAAAAGGAAAGAGTAATAGGGGGCGTGTCGATCGGCCGCCTCACTTTTGGAAAGCCGCGCGGATAATCAGTAGACCCGGCGATAATGAGACTAGGGCGCTGGCCAGCAGCTTGGGGTCTCCCTGTCTCCCGGTCTCTCTCTTTCTCTTGTGGAGGACTCAGCTCCCTAAGCCAGTAGGGGGGACGCCGAGTGAGAGAGCCCCGAAGGAAGAGAGACAGGTTTACTTCCAGCGCTGCTTATCCCAATCCGAGGGTCGCGTCTCGTCGTAGATCTGACCCCCCTGATTATGGACGACCACCGGGGGCTGCGTTCTCCGTGGAACCGCATTGGACCCTAGACGCATAGAGCTTCCCGTTAGTGACGGTCCTAGTGAGAATCGGGGGCCACCAGGATCTGGCGAACTTACCTCGCATATCCGAGACAACGACTCGGTCACCGCTACTGCCGGAGCTAGCCAGGGTGGAATTGGACTCGTTGACTTTGTGAGGCATTGTGATAGATGATAGATGACAGAGGAAAGACGATAGATAGAGTATTGCGGAGCAGTCGGTCTGATGAAGTACTCCCGAGTCGATCGAGACGAGGGAAGGGACCGGAGTATATAAGGTGATTCTGGGTGGCGGAGCAAGGCGATTCTCACACTCTTAGCTGAACAGAGGGAGAGAAAGAGGAAGAAGAGGACGGCGAGGCTTTGGGATGAATTGAATTGTTCACAGAATTGATGTGCCAGACGAGGATAGTTAGATGGATTGATGATGGATAAGAGAGCAGGGGAGGAGGCCGGACCCAGGCAGCTTTTTGTACGTTTCCCCAGAAGTATGAGGAATCGCCAAAAGGGAATAGAACGTCCCCAGAAATTATTATTTTAGGTTAAAAATAAATTGGATTTCGAGCATTACTTTTGGGACGGAGGGAACTAAATCCCAATCAGAAATTACAAAATCGAAATAAACGAAAATAAAATGGAAAAAGAGAGCGATCAGTCATCTTGCATGGCCCAGGGCCCATGTCTATCATCGTCAGAGAACCAAAATAATGCCTTCAACCATAATCCGACAACGAAAAAAGAAACAAAGGACGACGTCATCCCAGGAGGGAGAAACCCCATTCTCTCACCCTTCTGGAAGATCCCCCAAACCCAGACCCTTCGATGCCAGCCTAGACATGGGATCTGGAACGTCTTGTCGAAGCCCCATTCCACCGCCACTGACAGGGGCAAATTTGAACTGGACCAAAAGAAAAGAAAGGACAGAGGAAGTGAGGCGGCAAACCGGACGTCATCCCCAGCCTGACAGACAGGCAAACAGACCGTCAGTCAGAAAGACCGAACGAAGGACAGAGAAAGTCTGCCTGCCCGGGCTCTCCAGCCACAGTTTCATTGCCTGATGAGGCTGATTCAGGGAGCCAGACGTGGCTAAGACTGTATGGCTCCGAACCGTATTGTACGGCAAGGCGCCCTCCAAGTTGGGCCGCGTTGGCCTGATTTCTCGTTTCTAATACCGCCCAATACCCACCTACCTCACGACGGGACCCGACGGGGCTTCTCTTCCACATCACCTGACGACATCTGGGTACTATTTATGAATACAACCAATCAGGGCGAGGGAATCCGGCTGCCTCATTCTGTAGATGACTAAGGCAGAACCACCCGTGCTAGTCCCATTCGGGGTAGCATCTCGACGGAGGGCGACGGAGACTGGAGAGTCTCAGTCTCTGGCCTCGACGGAGTCGTTACTCTCATCCCGAGTGTTTAGTGTTTACTCCTTTGAGCTGTAGGTACGACGTGCCGCTCTCTCCGTCTGGGTCGCATGATTGACTGCCATACCATATGGGCCGGCCTTCTCCTGACCCTGCCCCCGAAGTCTGTTGGCGTTAGGATTTAACATCGCATTGCGTCCTCCTCTCCCCGTACCTATCTAGCCAGTCGATCGCCGATAACCTGTAACTCTAATCCGGGCTGGGAATAGCGTATGTAGCCTGCCTTTCCTTTCCTTTCCTGTCTCTCTGACCTCTGGATGATGGGGTACAGACCAACTGCGTAGGTGCACTGCGTAGGAGTACATACTGTATCTACCGATAGTAGACTAGTCACCTCCGGAGAGAACAGGATAGCACAGCATAGGAGGAGAGGGTAAATCGGCAAAAACGGCCACTTCATCGGTCCGGAATCGTATTAGCGTCGTATCCTTGCTAGCGTCGCTTCAAGGCCAGTCCAGTTGTTTACTTGTTGGACCCGAGTGGAGTCGCCTGGACAGCTTGTATGGAGTCGGGAGGTCGGAGCTAGACCTGTCTGGTCTAGACTCGAGATAGTCTCGTTATAGCTATGAGAGGTAGCAATTACGTATGTCCGACTAAAGGACGGAGTAATTACAGTAGCTAGCTAGCTAGACTAGAGACTTGTTCCCGTGATGAAAGATGCCCAGAATTCAAGGCCTCTAACTACTTACACCTAGTTAGAGGGATGACCACCTCAGGCAACTCAACAAATTGACCCGTCTAGAGGTCTGGACCCGAGGATTGTCTTCACCGCCAGAAAGCAGAGCCCTTTTGCCGAGGGAATCCCGCTGGCCGCAGTGCTACGGAGTACGTACTGTGTAGGACTATGAAGGCCTGACCGCCATTGGAATCTGCCTGCTGCCTGCCTGCTGCCTGCCTGCCTGCCTGCCCGACGGTCTGTCTACCTATGCTATGCTGTACTTGTCCAGTATGGAGTACTACAGCACCAGCCACCGACAACCCCCTCTCCGTACAACGCAAGGTCAATGCCAGCTGTACCTGCGTGGATCGGCACCAATTCCAAACCGGAAAACAGACATGAGTAAGCTGATCGGCGGGTTCTATTGGATGGAGTGACCGGTCTGGACTACTGTGTACTTCTCTAAGGAGAGAGTGACTTGTCGGCTTAGTCAGTCAATCCTGTCCCCCGCCTAATGTTTATGCCTAACCGAACTGGGACAGCCTCGAACCAGTTGGTAGACAGACCAGACCGGTAATGCTCCGTAGTATCTCATTATTATTGCTCCGCCGGGGGTTGGGGAAGCGTTCAATCGGACTGCATCCAGCAGACTCCCAGACGAAAACGAACAACCCAATATCGCTCAGACTAGGCTAAAGGCGACCCCATCAGACAAATTAGGCGGGATCAATTCAATATTACCCCATCTTTTATTGCTGGATCCGTGCTTTATCGGACTATTAGTAGTGGTACATGAAATAGATAAGGGCTAGACACAATGTATGTATATGTCGTGGTACATTCGAAACAGAACAAGCCGCCCAAAAAACAAGGCGCCTATCAGATCCCCCATCTCTCTCACGGTCTCACAAGATCCTAACGGGTGAGCCGGGGTCTCCTTCCCCTCCCTCTTTCCGTTTAGGAACTTGTCTATTCACCGAGATCTTTCATCGAGTCTGTTCGTTGCTCGTCCGCTTCATCCGTTCCTCCCACCCATTCATGCTTCGACGAATCCCTAGTGTTCGTCGTGGTGGTGGCAGGCCCGACCCCCCATGGACCATGGACATCGTGGTCGTGTGATACGTGGTCACTGGTCGAACGCCGGGGACCGAGTCTTGCTCAGGCCTTTTAACCTCGCTTGCTCCCCACCCTCCTCCTTTTGCCTTGCTCTGGTCGGACATTTCTTTGCTGCCCTTTTCTTGACCGCCGCGCAAGATCGGTTTCTCTGAAGCGGCCTGAGACGACGACGCCGACGATGCTGCCAGCCACGTGTAACAATTCGGGTCCGAAGGTTCGAGAACGGGTCGAGTGGGTTGTAGTCGCTGCGGTTGCGGTCGATAAGTCGAATATTCCCTGGGGATGACGCTTTTGAACCCCGGATTGGACGACGGAGTCTGGACCGCTGCCCCCGGCACGCCTCTTCGATTGTTATTTCGCCTCTGCCCCTGATCCTGGCTCAGCATTTGGCGGTCGGCCAGTGTTGATTCGTGGGCTGAGGAAGAAGGCTGGCCGAAGAAACGGGAGATGCTCTTTTGAGTCAAACCGTCGGATTGTCGACCTAGACCCCCGGCGCCCGCGCCCCGGGGCTTGGGCTTGCTGCTGTCCAACTTGGAAGGTGGCTGTGAGTCCTGGTCACCCACCGCTGAGTTGGATGCGATATACTGGCGAGCGGTCGAGAAGCCGAGCGACATGGTCATTTGCGGCGCACTGTAATTTGAATCCCCCATGGTGTATGCCGAAGTTGACATGGGTGTGACAGCGAGGGTGGTCGACCATTGTTCCGAATCATACCGTCGTCTCTTCGCGCAGGGCTCTTCAACATCCTCGACCGCTCGCGAGCCATCCCATCGGAACACGGCGTCGCCAGCCTCCTCGCCCGCAGCGGTCCAGCGATCGTCGTGCACGGAAGGCAGCGAGACTTGACCTTCGATCATCGCTTCGTTGGACGGTCTCGGTCGCCGCAGGATGTCTGCAATTCCATAGATGGTTTGCTCTTGCAGGTTCGGCCCAACGAGTCGAAAGCGCGAATTAATGATCGTATCGGGAAGAAATGTCGACACGCTCGTCTCTTCGCTCTGTCGGGCCTGCTGACGGGGACAACTCAGATATAGCAGTGCCTGTGCGCGTGTCATGGCTACGTAAAGCAACCGTCTCTCTTCGTCCCAGTCCTCTGCGCGCGAGTGAGGAATGACGCCGTCAACTACGGCCGGCACAAACACCACGGGCCATTCAAGTCCCTTAGCTGCATGAATGGTGGAAATCGTCACTTTCTCCTCAGATTGCTCTCCGTCTTCCGCGCCCTCCTGTGGCTTCACCTCTGTAGACAAAGCCACATTCGCCAGAAACCGGGACAGCGCCTCTTCACCCGCATGAGCTTGCTGCTGTTCAAGACCTTGAATTTCGGGGAGGCTGTCGTCCGGTTGTTCCTCCTGCTCGGGTCCAGCCGTATCGTCCGCCTGGTTTAGAAGCTCCTCCACATTAGCCCATCGATTTTCCTCGTTCGTACCGTAGGTCGTCGTAAGATAGTCTCGAAATGACAGCTTCTTAATCACGTAATCAAGAAGTTTTCTCGGGGCTGAGCCATCTTCACAGTCTTGGAGTTTCTGCCGTGACGACTCGATGAGGCCTACCAATGTGCAGAGACCGTTATTCGTAGGCTTGGACAGGGGTTTCTCAGTCGACCTGCGACCTTGTGCCACATCCTTGATGAATTCCCAGAGAGTCTTTTGTGCTTTCTCCGCGCCACTCAGCAACGACCGAATCGTCTCCTCTCCGATTTTCCGCGAGGGTACATTGATAATCCGTAGCAACGCATCCGCGTTCCCAGGTTGACTTATAACCCTCAAATAATCCAGAAGTAGCTTAATCTCAACTCGGTCAAAGAACCTCAACCCGCCAACCATTTTGTACGGTATGCCCTGCTTCCCCATCTCCGATTCGATCTGCCTCGAAAGCGCCGCCGAGCGAAGCAGGATGGCATAATCGGAGTAGTTCAACAGCTTCCCCGACATGGCCATGCCCCGGCGAATCTCCATCACGATCCACTGCGCCTCTGCCTCCGCGGAAGGCAACTTGCGCAGAACCGGCATGGTCCCTACGCCGTGCGTCGGCTCCAACTTCTTCGCAGGTCTCGACGAGTCCTGCTCGATGACATCTTGCGCCGAGTTCAGAATCGACCCGGACGAGCGATAATTATCCTCAAGCAGCACGACCGACGTGTCGCGGTACAGCCTCTGCATGCGGCCCAGGTTCTTGACCTCCGCGGACCGAAAGCCATATATACTCTGATCGGGATCGCCAACGACGGTGATGCGGCGATTTCGGCTCGCGAACAGATTCATCAACTCATACTGGATGTGATTCGTGTCCTGAAACTCGTCGACGAGAACAGCCTGGACATTGGACACGCAGTCCGGGTTCTTGCGGAGAAGCTCCGCGCATCGAAGAAGTAGGTCGTCATAGTCGAGGAGGTTCGACGCCGCCATATAATCCTCGTACTCTTGATACACCTGGACAAACTCCCGGTGCTCTAGGGCCTTATTATTGGGACCGTACTTGGCCGCAGCCTCGTCGGGACTGATGCCGTGGACTTTCTGGTGAGAAATTCGCGACCGGGCCGTATTGGGTTGAATGTTTAACTGCAACCGCTTAACAATTCTCTGTATGAATCTGATAAGCATAGTCCGGATACTTGAAACAATCCCAATCATCTCAATAGCTCCCTCCTCCCCCACCAACCAGAAACTTAAATATGAAAGAGAAGAATAAACCCACCCTAATGACCGCCAAACTGTCACTTGAATCCGCGATCCCAAACCCCTTCCTCAGGCCAATCAAGTGCCCATACCGGACCAAATATCTTCGACAGATCGAATGGAACGTCCCCAGAATAAGTCTCGACTGTACTTGCTCGCCGATTAACTTCCCAAGCCGCTCCCTCATCTCTCGGCTAGCCTTGATTGTGAACGTGCAGCAAATGACATCCTGCGGTCGGTAACCATGGTACGCGAGCAGATACGCGACGCGCGCCGTCAAAGTCTTTGTTTTGCCCGAGCCCGGAGGCGCAAGGACCTGAAGGATAGAGGCAGGCGAAGCGACCGCATTACTTTGAGCGAAGTTCAGACCATCGAGTATAGATGCTAGATTGATGGGATTGGTGGAATTGGGATCCATTGGGGTGGGATGGGATGGTCCAGGACATCGTGGGGAGAGGGAGAGATCTAGAATCCGCGGGTGCGGAGAGAAACGCGCTTCCGTCGCGAGGTCATGTGACGGGTCGCTTGGATGTAGATTTGATGTCTCGCTCGAGTTTGTTTTCATGAGGGTCAAAATTAATTAGATTGGTCCAAAAATTGCATAAAAGAGTGCTATTAGATAAAGTGAGTCTCCCGAAATTAATTTTCCATTGATATTGCCGGCCCTATGGTGCAATCCATACCAGGAACGGAGTATCGTATACTTCTCCACTAAGCCCTAAGCCCACCCCCAGCCCCTGTGCACTCATTGAACAATGTTAAAGGAACCAATATAAGGCACTATAGATTAACAAATAGTAAGAAACAAAAGTACCACATAGAACAGACAGTAACCACGCTGAACTCTAACTTAATGACAAATGCTTACTCTAGAGTCCTAGTCAAGTGCCGAACTTGAAACTAGCCTGAGCCACTCCCAGTGGCCCGAGAGCACAAATACTTCGATGCCCTGTCGTCGAAATTAATTGGCTTATCTTACTAGACACAAATGACGCTATGACGACTACTAGAGTTTGAGACAACAAAGAAACCTGCTCTGCCAAGAGCTGAGATTTCAGATCCGAATGAATGCGTGTCTCACTTGGTGTGTATGTCCTGTATACTGTATATACTGGACCTGAAAGGCATGTAATTCTCATGAAGAACGCGGTCAAGAAGAATAGGAGCACAATATCAGAAGGGAAGAGTAAAAAATGGAATGAGGATAGATATACAGAGAGAAAAGCAAGGAGAGTCAAGGTGAAACAATTCTACAAATACTCAAACTAAGAGAGGCTCACCCTCCCTTCGCCTAATCGCAAGAAGGCTCTTCTCATTGGGGCTCTAACTGCCGAGTCCAGTTCCCGAAAAATCCAGACGAACTCCTTAGTCTTAGCTGCGATCTCAAACTGAGTTACGAACGGTGCACAGGTAACAACAGGATGATTCGTTTGGCGGAAAGACGTCCCGGATACGCCCCGAAGCCACCTAACAAAGAATTAATGCAAGTTACGCGTCAAGCTAGTCAGCCCACTGACCATGATAAGTCATGCTTATCATAATATAATATTAGTTATTATTTCTATTATTGAGCCCTCGTACATTTTGCTCCAAAGGGGCCAATGACAACCATTGAGTCATATGCTACATATCTTGCAAATATGTGACAAGGCTTCAGGAAGAACTGGCCTGCCTCAAACTGCAAACTGCATTATCAAGCAAATCAAAAGAAGGAGACATTTGTCGAGGGAAGCGAGAAAAAAGAAAAAAAAAAAGAAAAAAAAAAAAACAAATCTTCATGTTAAGACATTGGGGAACTTGGAGATAGGGAGCCGGACCCGAGGTTAGTCCATGCTTATGACACTATGGGTAGCACCCATCTTAGTTGAATCCTTCGTTCGAACTCTACTTGGACAAAGAGGTAGAGCATGTCTGCGGTCTTGGGGCATCATTCCCGGGTTTTGTTCGCGAGGAACTTCCGCTCGAGAATCTTGGCCTCGATGGCTGTTATAGGGCCCGTTCATGTCGGTACTGTCGTTCGCCATGTCTTCTAAATCAATTCTGGAATCCCTGTACGAAGAGCTATGCAGGGAATGCAGGCCTCTGGGACGGTAGGTCCCCGTAATTGACTTTTTGACGAAACGTTTGATGGAGTACGGCGGCGTGGTGTTTTTGCTGTTCTTGCGAGTCACGAAGAAAGACCGAAAGGCAGCGGCTGCAGCCAGGAAGACGCCCACTTCGGCGGCGAGAAACTGCCAAAAGAGTCCCCAGATGACGTCTACCACCCCCTGGTAGATAAATAAGGATACGCGAATGATCGAAATAGACGCCATGATGATGGTCAAACAGAGAGAGCATATCAGGATGATCTTTTGCTTCCAAGAGACTCGGACAGTCCAGGTCACCGCGATAGGTATTGTGAGAACTGGATTATAGATTAGCTTAGTCCATTAATATTGTTTATGCATCGAATACGGTCGTTAACACACTCAAGATGTCCCCAATGATATCCAACACCATTTGAGCGATCAACTCCGTCACGAACAATTTTTTGTAGGGCCCAAAGACACACTGTACTGTTCCTCGTGGTTATAGTCAGCCGCACTCTTAATGAATGCAGTGGAAGCAAGGGAGGACTTACGCCCTCTGGGGTCAAAGAAAAAAGGACAACCAGTATAGTAAATTGCGACTCCATAGCCCAGGTTCCCAACGTTATAGAGGGTGACGAAGATCCAGTAGATCCACCAGTGCAGAATGGAATCTATCAGCCGCTTGAAGAAAAACAGAAAGCTGAATTTGACCATCATGATGGAACACCACGTTATTATTGAGCAAATAGTGACCCATTTGTGAAATTCCGACGAGAGCTGCATCCATTCTGGACCGGGAATGACTTTTTCTCCGGCTTGTCTTTGCAACGAGGCGATGAGATACATACGGTCGAGGATCTGTTCGTGCAGGAATCCGAAGCCGATGAGGAGTAGAGCAAAAGCCAGCGTCAGGCAGCAATCGTCAATATTTGGTAGCTGTCGTTGGACGCGGAATCGAATGAGGAATCGAGCGGTGACGGCCACCAGCGCGAGGCCGAGGAGGACCGATGTCGAAATCTACGGGTTCGGGATGAGTAATTGTTGAACGAATGTGTCACTATGTAATAGATACTCACCACAAAGGTTCTCCTGGGGATTTGATCAGCGGTGTCTTGCAGCTGCATTTTGAGACAAAGGAAGCAAATCACAGCTTCACTCCAAGTAGTACAGTACCAACAACATGATTGAGAATGGAGATAGTGGGCTTATAGGCAAAGAAGACTCTTAGGTACTTTTGCTCCCATAATGCTGATCAACATTGTGTATTATTTACCACCCCCCCCCCCGAAACCCATCAAATCGCATAACACTAAAACTCCTGTATCTTCAGCCCCCTGCCAGGGCCTGTGTCAAAGCGCTATTAGGCACCGCTAGTTCGCGCCGACGGGGGAACCGAAAGACCCTTGGGGGGAATTAGCCCTAACGCTAACCACTGGTCAAAGTCTCCTTCTCTCACAGGAAACGCCTCAATGGACTCGTCATTTCCGTTCTTCTCAATTATGAGTTGATATATCCACCCCCTCTGCACCAAGTCTTTTCTCGATGGAGTCCATTCCTTTCTAGACTGTGACCAATTATCAGTACCCCGAAGTCAACCATGAAGCTCTCAGCGGCCGGATGAAAGGCCATTGCAGCCAGGCCCTTGCTGTCTTCGTCTTATCCGCGTTGATCATCTTTCTATACAAACTACAAAGATGCTATTGATATTCTATCGATTAAAGAATAGAACCAAGTCCTGTTACGTCTCACTCTCCTCTAATATTTCCTCGCATTTCCTCCTAAACTACACTTTCTCACCAATGCTACTATAGGACTTCGTTGCCGGCCACATCAAAGTGTTACCTGAGCTTCTGAAGCAGCTCCCCAAAAGCTCGCAGCAGTTGGATGTCTTCAATATACTCTCGCGGAATATCTCCAAGACCGACTCTTGCTTCTACATTGATCTCTGCCCCTTCACCATGTCTCTATCGAGATGTGTACCTACCGAAACTGACGAAGTCCATAGAAACGCCCGCCTCCAATCTTAACGTAAACATAACCCTCTCGCCGCCGCCATACGCAGCTCCATCGAATGGCACTGTCAAGACAATGAAAATAATCCCTTCGAGTGATAGAATCACATGCGTCCTCTCATTGCAAAGCGCAACAGACGCACCATTAACCACTACATCAAACTCGAGCTCGGACTTAAAGCATCTTTCAAATTGGGTACTGCTCGCTTCGCCACTAACCTCTGGATTTGTCTTGATAATCTGGAGGTAGCTACGCGCCTT